GTAGTAGTAGTAGTAGTAGTAGTAGCAGCAGCAGTCAGTCACAGTAAAGCAAGGTATTTTTTAGTTTTGGTAGAGGTTTTTCGGCGCTCGCAACTGCATAAGGTCATATGAGCGCCAGAAGATTAGAGATGTTAAAAGAGAGTAACAAACATAAAGAAAGAAGAAGGGGAAATAAGGACAATAGATGTTAGATAGGAAAGAAGAAGCAAACCGCACTAGAGCACCCGCCAACCATCCACTAAAATAAGGTAAGTCCTTCCTACCTTGTGGCTGACACTCTGGAAGCCAGGTATCCCCCGGGTATCTGGGTCACAATGTAGCCCCAGAAGAAGGAGCTGTCCACCACACCAACGGTTTCTGGTGTCCAGTTGAACTCCGGTTCCTGTGGAAGACAAAGGCAGACACAAAAGTTATCTTTTGGGGAATTTGTATGTGTGTGGGGGTTTTTTAAGTCACAGTTTTACGACACCTGCAGCAAAATTGGGTCACGTAAGTACCGAAGATAAGCGGTTTTATAAGAGAGTAACACTCCCGCACTCTATAGAAAAAGAAGGATGGAAGATAGGGATGATGGATATTTGATAGGAAAGAAGGAGTGAATTACACGATGACACCCATCAACCACCCAACTCAGGTTATTATAATATATATATCTTTAGCTGGTCATAAAATCAATACACTCTTCCGTTTATTTGTTTTGTTTGAGTAAAGAGAATGACATAGACACAACAATGGCCATTTAGTGCAAGATGAAAATGAGACAGACTGACAGAAACAGCAGAGGGAACGATAAGAAGTAGGACCTGCCAGTGGAGCCTTCCAATACTCCCATACACTCGTCAGAAAAACCAACTTACTAACTTACTTATCACCAAGGATGATCGGGCAACCACATTTTACCATCCTTCTCTAATTTTAGCCTTTTGAAGGGCTTCACCCAACTTTAAACCTGTCCATTCCGTTATGTTATCTTCCCATCTCTTTTTTATTTTGGTCTGTCTTTCCTTATCCCTCCTTTGCACAGTGCCCTGTATGACCATTTTGCAAGTCCTGTTGATCTTGGTATGTGCCCATACCATATCAATTTGCGTTCTTTACAATAGTGAGAAGATATTCATAGGGCCCAGTTGCATGCCTGATTTTGTCCCTCACTTCCTCATTTGTAGCATAATATCAATTATAGGAGATGCCCAACAGCCTTCGAAAGCATCTCATTTCTGTAGCTTATATATTTGGCTCTAACTCTGCTGTAAGGGTCCATGTCTCACAAACGTACAGGAAGATTGAAATGACCAAGGAATGCGCCACTTTGAATTTGGATCTGAGAGCAATGTTCTGGTCTTTCCATATATTAGTTTAGTCTTAAACTTTAGACAAACATAAAGACCCTTTAGTGCCGAAGTGGACATGTAAGTCAGTCCTACCTAATTCCAAGCTCACCAAGGGACGTGATACTACTGATATATTACAGTTGATAATCACTGTTTCTGGTGTGTCTTTCCAGTAATTTGTCCTCAGTCATTTCAAACACTGATGGAATTCTTTTAAAAAGTA